GCCCTAAGGTGCTGAGGCACTAAAATGTGGAACCACCAACTGTTCACCAGCTTTAGCTTGGTACTACTCCTGGTAATGTTTTCAGAGGACTGGTAGATCCTTGTTTTTTCACATCTGGTTATCCTCTCTTGTGAGATTACGAGCACGCATGTTCGTTCATACTGACCCAGCTCGCGCCACCAAAATCAAATCCACGCAGTGGCTGTGATCGGCTGTGGTTTCGTGGATTTTCAGACGACGATGCTCGCGGTGCATCCTTGTGGTAAAAAAGGCGCAAGAATATTGGGCTGGAGGGGCCGCGCGGTAGGCCTCCCGCGAGCGACATCTTCGTGTCCGGCGTCTTGTCCTTGGCAGTTGCCATAACGACGCCAGCGCAAAACAGTGCAAAACTGGCCCGCCCTCTGTTGATACCCTTTTGCCTGTTCACTGTTCACCGTTGCCACACAGACGCTGATGCCACCACTGTTCACTGTTGCATACGGACCAGTGTTGCGGCATCACAGAAACCAGTTGTCCATCCATGAGGAAACACGCTCGTACCGGTCATACGTGGGCATGGGTGCTTCAGTTATTGTTTTCACAGCTCATACCGGCACATCAACAACAAGTACTCTCCTCCTGGTTATCTTTTCATTTTTGAGCCGACTACGACAGATACAACGCAACATCTTTTTCAGATACAGGATGCCTCCTTGAATTCAAGGATTTTCTTTTAACAACGCTAACGCTCACACCTGTGGTGGAAGCCAAACCCGCCCACACGCTCTATAACACACAGATCGCGCCACATCACCGTATGCATGTATGTGAGAATCTTTTGGATTTTCAGTTTTTAAAATGTTTTATCTCTTACATGAAAAATCCGATTGAAGATTCGTTTTCATAATTAAATCCCTCGCGACGAGATTTTCGAAACTAGATCTCATATCAATATATTTCGATGAAATTTCTTTTGAGTTAAAAGTTGCCATGTCTGTTGCACATAAATTGTCATGATGTTTACACTGAAATTGCGATGATATGTTTCAGCTATTTTCTTCTACATTTAAAAGTAAATTTTGACATATTATAAAACAGAGAATTAAGAAACTAGATGCCATGAACCATAAACTAAAATTGCCATGATACATGCACTTAAAATTGCCATGGTTCATATAAAAATAATTTTCATGGTCATAGTACTGAAATTGCCATCATCAAAAAAATAAAATTGCCACATGGCAATTTTAGTTTAAGCACTATGGCAACTACAGTGTAAACATCATGCCATTTTTTGGGGATTTTTTTTCCCGTCGAAACATATTAACATGGGGTCTAGTTTTGAAGATCTCGTTGAGATGGATTTAATGGTGAAAATGAATTTTTAATTTTATTTTTTAATTAGGAGATAAAACATTTTTAAGCCGAAACCCAAAAAGATTCCTGTTGATGTCATCTGTTCATACGTGACAAAATGATTGGCGATGGAGACGTGTGAGCGATGTGCAAGATGCCACACGTGTGGGCGTTAGTTTTTTCAAAAAATTTAACCATGCAAAGCTAGGGGATTTAAAATTCTAGTCAAACGAATTTGGCCCCAGAGTCTGTAAAATCAGATGTACAACCCAACACGCCCCCTCTAACTCAGATGTATAGCCCGAGACGCCCCCGCTAACCCTATTTGGTGCTTCAGGCGCCAGTTACTTCGTTAGCGGTAACTGGCGACCTGGCCGGCCCATATAGAGTTTGTTTTTCAGAACTCCGATTTGGGGAAGCTTCACGACCACCTCTTTCTTTTATGTGTTTTTGGTTTTCCATTATTCTGGTTTCACATCTTTTTTCTGGTTTATTTATTTATTTCCGTTTTCCTTTTTCCTTTTAGTTTTCGTTTTCATTTTCATTTTTTTAAATGCGTGAACTTTTTTCAAGTTTAAAACTTTTTTTCGCAAATTCATGAACCTTTTCCAAATTTCCTAAACTATTTCCAAACTAGAAAACTTTTTGTGTTTTTTTCAAATTAGTGATTTTTTCATTTTTGAAAACTTTTAAATTTCTTCATCTTTTACAAGTCTTGAACTTTGTTCAAATTCATGAAATCTTCTCAAATTTGTAAAAAAAATTCAAACATTTAAACTTTTTTTAAAGAAGTTGAACCTTTTGTGAACTTTTTTTAATCGTGAACATGAACTCGTAATTTTTTTGAATTCAAGAACTTTTTTTAATACATGATTTTTTTGAATTCATTAACCTTATTTTTGGATGTTCATGATCTTTTTTTTGAAATATGCAAACTTTGAAAATTTGTGATCTTTTTCAAATTTGTGAACCATTTCAAGTCTTGATTTTTTTGGCAAATTTATGAACTTTTTCAAATTCTTTGAGAAGTCAATAAATCAAACTCATACATCAAAAGCTTGAATGGCTAACTATCAACTGGCCCAACGGTTAGTGGTTAAAATGCGAAACTGTCATAACATTGATTGAGTCCATCTGTCTTGCCTAGTACATTGCTTAGTACCGCACTTTGATCCCTAAGTGTAATGCCAACTGGATACCAACTGCTCCTGCTCCATATGTGCCTCCCAAGAAGGGGCGCAACCTTAGGCCAGAGGACCGTACCACCTTCACTCCAGGGTGCTCTTCCACTGCTCATATTCCACGTAGGAAAGGCCCTAAGGTGTCTCCTCAGACAACTTTACTAGGGAGGAGAAGAAGTCACTTTCAAGATGATTGGCAATCTTTTCAAGATGTGCCAGTCTATTCAGAGGCATCAGGTAGAGGATATCAATAGAAGTTGTACATGCACAACAAGAAGGCGGATCACACTGCTATGGGGATGCCTTTTGAGCTAAGATCCAATGACAAGGATAGTGAGGCAATAGTTTATGAGAACCACCTTGTAGGGTATCGCTTTGATGATGATGATGATGAATTGAGCGCCTCACTTTTTGTCTAGTTTTTTCTAGCATCGCCTTTTCGCCTTTTGGCATATTGACTATAGAGGAGGAGAAGAGTTCTATTTAGTATCATTTGTACTTGAGATCACAAGCCTCATTCTTATTTAGTCGTGTTTCTATTGGCTTGTGAAACCTTTTTATTCAGTCGTGTGATGTGAGCTACTTCTTATTTATGTTTGTGAGACTTGGTTTTGTTATTAAGTATTGAGACTATGCTTAATTCATATGTTGTGAAATGCCTTATCATTTTAGTCTTGTCTCACATTATCATTACGCACCACACCTCTTGCATGTGATCTCGCTGATTATTCTTATTTGTTGATCACATGTCAAGCTTTCATGCATTGAGTTATCTAGTTGTTGCTATTCACTCATATCATTGCACAACTCTTCTTGATCTAGGGGATCCATCTATGTGTGTGCTTGTTGCATAATCAAGCAAACTAGATCATTGATGGCGCGCGTTGCTGCGGCCGTCTATTTGTACAATGATATGGTAGGAATTTTGATAAATATATGGCCATATGAAATAATTAAGCTTTCCTAAACATAACCATACGTTAGTTGGTAGTCCAAGGAAATCTTTTATATACATATATAATCGGTAAAAGCAAGGTCACATATAAATTGACTTGGTATAACAGCATACACAACAGTTTAGATAGTAAATACAACTAATCGGTACAGATAATAGGCAATAAGAAATAAATTGCTTTCATGGTGCATAAATGAAATCTTCAAATGCCTCTACCAAAGAGCCACCATGTTCGGAAACAAAGAAGAATTATGTGAGCCTAATGCACCTGGCTATTTCTTGTGGAGGGCACACAATAGGACAACAGTCCTAACAAGGATTAAATTAGTTGCAATATCAAATAATGATATACTAAATACAACCATACAAGTAGCAGCGGGGATATGTTGTAATCATATTGTTCATTTTGGTTTGCTTGTTTTGTTAAACAGAAACCAGGCTGAAAGATATATGTAAGAAAGTGGCAGACCAGCAATTCCATTTATACATGAAAAAGGCTTACCAAAATAAACCAGCATGAAAAATGGTGTTGCTACACTTGCACGAATTAAATAAGGGCCAAACTTACCAATAGCCCAGGTAACCCAAAAACACATGCACGGACATGCACGAGAGTATCACTTACCTGGGAGAACTCTTGCAACTACGATGCACCATCAGCTGATTCAGAAGGCCCCGTCCTCTTGCTATCAGCAACTTTAGAGGTTCCTTCCGTGTCATCAGCAGTAGTTTCTACCCCTCTGCATTTTTCCTGTCCTCCCAGCTTTCTTTTTGTCCGGCGAAGGTGTTGCCACCGCCGCATTTGCACTTCTCTCCACCAGCAGTGCATCCTGGCTTCTGTTAAAGAAAAAAAATGATATCACCAGCCAGTTTTGATTGCTTCTGTATCCGGCTTTGGTTTAGAGGTTCATGTAAAAGGTGCAACCGTTAAAGAAGAAATGTAGACAGAGTATATTGTTTCTGGGTTATTTTTCCACTTGTGCTCTTACAAATGATATAATAATTTTATCCTCATCCCAAAGTCAGTCAGTCACGTTTTATTTCTCCAGCCACCCAACTTACGTTTGCAATATGTTCTTACCAAATATAACATGTCTAGCAGATCAACTACCCTGGCAACATATTGGCTTTGCAGTAGTATAAAAAATTTAAGATACATGAAGACACAACAGAAAAAAAAGGTACACTAAGAAGATCCAGTCACATTTATGAAACATCTTTCATCGTGTTTCTACGGGAGGGATCAGTGTCAGCACTTGCCTGAGATCTCATCGCTGCGACGCTTGGCACATGGCTTCCAAGACCTGGATTCTCCATAGCGAGTTGCTCACCTGAACGGTGATGACACCAAGCCATAAAAATCAAACAAACGTTAAAACTGATTTCGCGCACAACATCACATTACAACGGGGCCCTGGAGCCGAATCTCATCTATGCGGCACAGTTCAGGCGCATTTTACGGTCCAATGAAACCATGAATTTCAGTAAGCATGAGGGATCCCGATGAGATGCAATGTAGATCGATAGCATCAAGGATTCACGACGTGCGACCAGACGCAGGGGGCGGACACGAGCGCGCCGAGGAGGAGGCAGGTGAGGATGGCGAGCAGGATCCGGAAGGAGGCCAGGGCCGATGGCGATCGGGGGTCCTCGAGCGCGAGCGGGGCGCGGATGGGGACAGGGAGTGGGTACCTCTGGTGGAGCGGAGGGGACGAGCGCAGCACGCCGTCCTTGCAGCCGTCACCGCCGCCCCGTGGGGAGGCGAGGAAGGAAGAGGAGGCGGAGGAGGCCTTCGCGTCGCGCTTCGCGGGTGAGCCGGAGGCGCGGGCCACCGCCGCCATCCTAGCATGCCGCAGCCCGAAGTTGCCTGACAAGGTTCCCGATCGAGAGAGAGGAGACGTCGTGGGTGTGGCCCGAGGAGATGTCGTTTGTTCACTGAGATGGGCTCTTCTTGGTGAGGCCGAATCAGCCGGCTGGCCCAATCAACGAGTGCCCTTCAATTTGGCTACGAGAGTAGCGTCCCCTAGGACAGCCGGCCCACTTGCTGGAAAACGAGGGAGATAGCACGCTAATGATGATCAGACGGCCAGAAATTGATGTATCGTGAAAACGAATGGCTGTGGTTGATGATGGCCTGAGAGGGCTGGGATTAGGTGCGGTTATATTGTTCTTAATTCTTTTATCTATGCTCACACTTAGGGGGAGCTCTCTTGATTAATTGCTTTGCTGGCTAGTCTTATAAAATATGTTTTGGCCATGCTCTAGACGTATTGTCATCAATACACCAAGGGGGGGGGGGATTGGAAATGCATTTGCACTTAATGGTATTTTTGTATGATGACATGATGGTTAGTGGAACTAATAACGATTGCTAAGGTATATCTCAGGTTATTGGTTCCTTGAAAGATTATCATGATGATGGTTAACCCCCCACTTCAAAAGATCAAAGGCGTGGTTATGCGGTGACTCGAAGGTTTTCGTTTTGGGTTGATTTGAGTCGTAGGACAAACACAGTATTAAGAGGGGTCAAGGTGGATGAATTTCATGTGGGAACTCTCTAAACATATACACCAACCTTCCTACACAAAATAAGTACTCCTCCATTCTTCGTTTTTGTGCTATTGCAAAGTGTCCATGGGTTGGTACCAAAAGTTTCTAATCACCACGTGCGCACGGGGTCTAAGACCATGTGCGCACGTGCCTTAGACCCCAGTGCACATGAGGTGATGTATATGCCTCTAGATAGCCCATGCGCACGGGCTGACTTAGCATGTGAGCACGGGGTCCAACGGGTAGATACCCCCTCCTTGCACTAGCACTATAAAAGGGAGTCCTTCCACCTCCAACCCTAAACCTTTTGCTTTGTTTGAGCTCCCCCATTTCTAAATCTTGATTTTCTCATTCCTCTTAACCCCTCCACCAAACATGTTGAAACTTTGGGGTTCGAGGGAGAAAGGCCCAATTTACACTTTGACCAAACCAATTCGTGTTCCCCACAAGATTTCTTCATCATCGACTTGCTACTCTTGGAGCTTGGTCTTCTAGGAGGTTAGGGTTCCTCTGGAAGCTTCCTTACTTGTGGTGTGCTCTGGAGACATTTGTAAAGGTGTGGTGGTCGCCTTCATGACCAAACCAAGTGATTGGAGGGTCATCCGTTGGGGGTGATTGGAGGAGAACATGGCGAGCCTTCCGCGGTGTTACGAAAGCTTTGGCTTCGGCACCGATCCAATAAAGATTAGCACTTCCCCAAGGAAGTGTAAACTTTGGAATAAAATCCGCGTCATCGGCTCCCTTGTGGTCAATCCTTTACCACATTTTACTTTGTCTTGTACGCTTGTGTGTTGGGGAACGTAGTAATTTCAAAAAAATTCCTACGTACACGCAAGATCATGGTGATGGCATAGCAACGAGAGGGGAGAGTGTTGTCCACGTACCCTCGTAGACCGTAAGCGGAAGCGTTATGACAACGCGGTTGATGTAGTCGTACGTCTTCACGATCCGACTGATCCAAGTACCGAACGTACGGCACCTCCGAGTTCAGCACACGTTCAGCTCGATGACGATCCCCGGGCTTCGATCCAGCAAAGCTTCGGGGATGAGTTCCGTCAGCACGACGGCGTGGTGACGATGATGATGCTCTACCGGCGCAGGGCTTCGCCTAAACTCCGCGACGATATGACCGAGGTGGAATATGGTGGAGGGGGGCACCGCACACGGCTAAGGAACGATCCGTATATCAACTTGTGTGTCTATTGGGTGCCCCCTGCCCCCGTATATAAAGGAGGGAGGGAGGAGGCCGGCCGGCCCTTGTTGGGCGCGCCAGGAGGAGGAGTCCTCCTCCTAGTAGGAGTAGGACTCCTCCTTTCCTACTCCTACTAGGAGGGGAAGGAAGGGGGAGAGGAGGGGAAGGAAAGAGGGGGGCGCCGCCCCCCCTCCTAGTCCAATTCGGACCAGAGGGAGAGGGGGCGCGCGGCCCTTCCTGGCCGCCCCTATCTCTTTCCACCAAGGCCCATGTGGCCCATTAACTCTCCGGGGGGGTTCCGGTAACCCTCCGGCACTCTGGTTTTCTCCGAAATCACCCGGAACACTTCCGGTGTCCAAATATAGTCGTCCAATATATCAATCTTTATGTCTCGACCATTTTGAGACTCCTCGTCATGTCCGTGATCACATCCGGGACTCCGAACAAACTTCGGTATATCAAAACTTGTAAACTCATAATAAAACTGTCATTGTAACGTTAAGCGTGCGGACCCTACGGGTTCGAGAACTATGTAGACATGACCTAGAACTATTCTCGGCCAATAACCAATAGCGGAACCTGGATGCCCATATTGGTTCCTACATATTCTACGAAGATCTTTATCGGTCAAACCGCATAACAACATACATCGTTCCCTTTGTCATTGGTATGTTACTTGTCCGAGATTTGATCGTCGGTATCCAATACCTAGTTCAATCTCGTTACCGGCAAGTCTCTTTACTCGTTCCGTAATGCATCATCCTGTAACCAACTCATTTGGTCACATTGCTTCAAGGCTTATAATGATGTGCATTACCGAGAGGGCCCAGAGACACCTCTCCGACAATCGGAGTGACAAAACCTAATCTCGAAATACGCCAACTCAACATGTACCTTCGGAGACACCTGTAGTACTCCTTTATAATCACCCAGTTACGTTGTGACGTTTGGTAGTACCCAAAGTGTTCCTCCGGTAAACGGGAGTTGCATAATTCTCATAGTTACAGGAACATGTATAAGTCATGAAGAAAGCAATAGCAATATACTAAACGATCAAGTGCTAGGCTAACAGAATGGGTCATGTCAATCACATCATTCTCCTAATGATGTGATCCCATTAATCAAATGACAACACATGTCTATGATTAGGAAACATAACGATCTTTGATTAATGAGCTAGTCAAGTAGAGGCATACTAGTGACTATATGTTTGTCTATGTATTCACACATGTATCATGTTTCCAGTTAATACAATTCTAGCATGAATAATAAAAATTTATCATGATATGAGGAAATAAATAATAACTTTATTATTGCCTCTAGGGCATATTTCCTTCAGTCTCCCACTTGCACTAGAGTCAATAATCTAGATTACATAGTAATGATTCTAACACCCATGGAGTCTTGGTGCTGATCATGTTTTGCTCGTGAGAGTGGCTTAGTCAACGGGTCTGCAATATTCAGATCCGTATGTATCTTGAAAATCTCTATGTCTCCCACTTGGACTTGGTCCCGAATGGAATTGAAGCGTCTCTTGATGTGCTTGGTCCTCTTGTGAAATCTGGATTCCTTTGCCAAGGCAATTGCACCAGTATTGTCACAGAAGATCTTCATTGGTCCCGATGCACTAGGTATGACACCTAGATCGGAAATGAACTCCTTCATCCAGACTCCTTCATTTGCTGCTTCCGAAGCATCTATGTACCCCGCTTCACATGTAGATCCCGCCACGATGCTTTGTTTAGAACTGCACCAACTTACAGCTCCATCGTTTAATAAAAACACGTATCCGGTTTGCGATTTAGAATCGTACGGATCAGTGTCGCTTGCATCGACGTAACCATTTACGACTAGCTCTTTGTCACCTCCATATACGAGAAACATATCCTTAGTCCTTTTCAGGTATTTCAGGATGTTCTTGACCGCTGTCCAGTGATCCACTCCTGGATTACTTTGGTACCTTCCTGCCAAGCTTATTGCTAAGCATACGTCAGGTCTGGTACACAGCATTGCATACATGATAGAGCCTATGGCTGAAGCATAGGGAACATCTTTCATTTTCTCTCTATCTTCTGCTGTGGTCGGGCATTGAGTTTGACTCAACTTCACACCTTGTAGTATGGGCAAGAACCCTTTCTTTGCCTGATCCATTTTGAACCTTTTCAAAATTTTATCAAGGTATGTGCTTTGTGAAAGTCCTATCAAGCGTCTTGATCTATCTCTATAGATCTTGATGCCCAATATGTAAGCAGCTTCACCGAGGTCTTTCATTGAAAAACTTTTATTCAAGTATCCCTTTATGCTATCCAGAAATTCTATATCATTTCCAATTAATAATATGTCATCTACATATAATATCCGAAATGCTACAGAGCTCCCACTCACTTTCTTGTAAATACAGGCTTCTCCAAAAGTCTGTATAAAACCATATGCTTTGATCACACTATCAAAGCGTTTATTCCAACTCCGAGATGCTTGCACCAGTCCATAAATGGAACGCTGGAGCTTGCACACTTTGTTAGCACCTTTTGGATCAACAAAACCTTCTGCTGCATCATATACAACTCTTCTTCCAGAAATCCATTCAAGAATGCAGTTTTGACATTCATTTGCCAAATTTCATAATCATGAAATGCAGCAATAGCTAACATGATTCGGACAGACTTAAGCATCGCTACGGGTGAGAAAGTCTCATCGTAGTCAACTCCTTGAACTTGTCGAAAACCTTTCGCAACAAGTCGAGCTTTATAGATAGTTACATTACCATCAGCGTCAGTCTTCTTCTTAAAGATCCATTTATTCTCAATTGCTTGCCGATCTTCGGGCAAGTCAACCAAAGTCCATACTTTCTTTTCATACATGGATCCCATCTCAGATTTCATGGCCTCTAGCCATTTTGCGGAATCTGGGTTCATCATCACTTCCTCATAGTTCGTAGGTTCATCATGGTCAAGCAACATGACTTCCAGAATTGGATTACCGTACCACTCTGGTGCAGATCTTATTCTGGTAGACCTACGAGGTTCAGTAGAAACTTGATCTGAAGTTTCATGATCAATATCATTAGCTTCCTCACTAATTGGTGTAGTTGTCACAAGA